GATGTTTCGCTTGTTCTTGTTTCTTAATTTTTAGTCAGCTTACTTTGGTAAGCTCCTCTTATGGCAGGTGGGAGGATCGTTCAGCTGACCAAGTGCAGTATGACGGTGATCTCTAAACAGTTGCAAGGAGGCTAATAACATGTTAGCTCCTCTTAATATCTTGGTTGATGCCATCTGTCAGATTTAGCCCACCGAGTCCCTATTTTGCATTTACTTTGCTTCTCTAAAGTTCTCTTCGTGCTGCAAGGAAGACGCGAGGGTTAGTTGCATTCCTGCTGCCTTGCTTGAGATGAATCCATTTGGTTCTTTTGCCTTTAAATTCTATAACACATCATCGTATCTATTGGTAGGTGTCATTCTGCTTCTCCTTGCATGTCTATTTGTGCGCTTGGGTTGCAGATCAGGTTACTGACACATGGGATCGTACAGTTATTCTATTACTCAGGGCCTACCCTGGTGGTCATTACTCTGGGTTAAGCAAGCTGAGCAGGTTATGCAAGCTACTGTGTGAAATGTGCATGCATCACTGCCTAAAAAGGGTCCAGACAGCAACGACAAGTGCTTACTATGCTCCATTAAAGCATCTAAGAAGATAATTTAGTTTGGGTGAATTTATTAATTTATTAATTAGCTTGAAGAAGAAAAATATTTCAGAACAGTGTGGTCATAGAGTTATGTTCAGTTTGGTGCTTTGGGTCATTCTGGATAAGTGATTGGGTAGCGGTTGCTGTTTACTCGCAAGGGATGAATTGGTGCAAGTGAGTTTATGAAAGCCTACTAGAACTGTTTGTTGAAGTAGTTGTATGAACATGTTGTGTGCAACTGAACTCATCTGATTGCTTATCTTTGAAAATCTTCACCTGATGTGTTGTGCATTGGTCTACAATATATTACTCATTATATTGGTCTGTATTTGTCGATGTGCAGAATGAACTTGCTCATCTTGACCAATTGATGACTCTATGCAGCTGATTTGAAACACATGGTTTTATCTGTTTTAAAGAGAGTGTACTTCCATAGCCTATGTATCTTTGAAAAATGCGGATGCTACCCCGCTACAACAGCCTGCTTTAAATGACCAGCGATAAATGCAACGATTTAAGTGCCAATTATTCATGCGCCTCTCTTGTCCCATTGATGAACTTTGAACTATACACTACCCATCTATATATCTATGTATTTGTTACTATAGCGATGGCACAGGTAAATTAAACCATCTGTTGAGTTCTCCACTCCATGCTATGTTAGATCCATGTGATATATCTATGCCAACTGCGTTCGCTCCTTGTTGTTCGGGTGACAAGCTTTGTGCTTTTGTGGCCAATATAGATAAGAAATTCCCATTTATATTGCTCTGTATATGATCGTTAATTAATATACACTATTTGTAATACAATCCACATTCCATTAACTTCCATCTACATCTCCTACTTACTCACTACTATACTTGGCCATCCCTCGGGCCGGGCCAACCAAAGCCCGACGCAAAAAACCTAGGCCTTGCTGTCGGGTCGGGCCAACCAAAGTCCGATGCAAAAAACCCAAGCCCGAGCTCGGCCTAGCCCTGCTGTCGGGCCCGAGCCCAGCCCGTCGGGCCTTGGGCCACAGGCCGGGCCTCTTCCTTAAAGGCGAAAACAATGGGCCCGGGCCTGCCCTAGCCAGTGCTTCGGGCTCAAAACCTAGGCCCAAGCCCAGCCCATGGACAAGGTCAGCCCGGGTCGGGTCGGGCCGACCGGGCCGGGCTGCCCATGGCCAGGACTACTCACTACCATCATCGCTTCTAATTCGCTTCTTGCGCCATTTGGCGCAACCAGGTCATCTAGTTAGTTTAAGAAATGGAGATGCACTTCAATGCTACTAGGGCCCTATTTGTGTTGTGATTCTTCTTTTCTGTGTTTCTATTTGTACATATTATTCTGGGATGTTTGTATTCGGACTCTTTTCATGTGACAATTCATAGACTAGCTAAGAATGCTTTATTTACTAAAAGTCTAAAATCAAAGGGAAATCTTATCTGGCGACCGTTACCTAGCAGGCCGGCCCGAGTGAACTTCCCGATTGCCGTTGCACTTATCTTGATGCAACACCAACGGCATGTGGATTGGCAGAACAGGCGTGGGGCGCTTACCAGTTGGGCTGTAGCACAGTTTGTGAACAAAAGTACTAAACTTGTTTTATTCGTTTGAAGCTAAACTCTTTTAAATTGAGATTTTCTTAAAAAAATGTAAAAATCCATTGCTTTTAAATTGTCAAAATATCCCTATTTTTAAATGGTCTTTTTATTCTAAACTTTCCATGTGCATTTTTATTTATAGGATGCCCTCCATTGCTTTTTAAAAACTTGGCATGTACAATTTTCAAAAAATACCCTGAATTCATTCGATCCACCCTCCTCTTTGGCGATCAATCGCCAGATATTAGAGTCCAAGCCAAATAAGTTAGTCCCTCAATTCCTTAATTCTTGTTGTGATATTGGTTCAAATTAAAATAAAACACACACACAAAGTAACACGTTAGTAACAGTGGCACGATACCTACTTAAACGTAGAGGTATCTCTATTGTCATTGTGGAACACTTAAAAGGCATATACCGTTCATATGAAACTGAGATGCCTTTGTTATGTTCCGCGTAAAAGGTGATCATAGTTACATCTTACAACATGTAGATAGGAGATGATGCTTTTATTGTATTTTCTGCACGGCCATGATTATACATAACTAATTAATTGAGCAAAGGGTCTCTGGTTGTAGCAGTCGAGGTTGTCGCCATGGCCAAAGTCGAGGATGTCTCAGTTTCTTTTTTTTTTGGAAATGGAGGCATACCCCCGGGCCTTTGCATCATAATGTCTCAGTAGCGCTTGTAAAACCCGATCCGATCGGCGAAGCAGCTGTCCTGCCCATGCCCGCACTCAATCCCACCGTTGATGGTGTTGGTGATCATACCAAACCTAGGCGCCCATCCTGCGGCCAGGTCTGCCCCAGACGGGATCCACTGGCCCGTGATCACAGCATGGCCTATGGTGCCGAAGTAGGGGAAGGCGGCTGCGGCCTTAACTAAGACGTCGTGGGTGTAGAAGCCCTTGGCCTGGCAGGCGCCGATGTTTCGGTGCAGCAGCATGCGGTTCAAGAGGGCGGGCAAGACGATGCAGGACGGTTGCTGCCGTCGGAGGTGGCCGATTGCTCTGCCATGGCCATGGCCATGGCCGTGGCCGTGGCTAGCATGGCAAATAACGCGAGCGCTCTCATCGTGCGTGCCAACGAAGCTGAGTACTTGGCCGCTTTCTGGTGGTGCAAGTGTAGTGCTACGCTTGCACTACCGTTGTAGTGGTGTGTGTGCGCCAGAAGCGGCCGGGAGTGGACGTCTTTATATAGGTGTCGCGCGCTACTCGATCACCATGATCGACCTGTGTGGTTGTGTCTATCCATCTACCTTCTCGTGAGCTTCGTTCCAGAGCGACATCGTCGTGCGACGGATCAAACTTGGCGGCTTAGATCAGGTTGAGATGTACAGCGGCCCAGTCGCGGGTGGTTCGCGGGATCGTTCACCTACGATTCGAGGGACTACAAGTATGATCTACACTGACTCGTCTACTTCCGCTGCACCTCATAGTCAGTAACGATCATTTATGCAAACGTTATATGCATTTTTGTACTGTTCATCGTAGGGCAATTTTTTTTTGTTTTGTTTTCTACTACGTTTCCAAACAACTTGCCCATGCCCGCACTCGATCCCGGCGTAGATGATGTTGGTGATCACGCCAAATCCGGGCACCCGCCCTCGAGCCCAATCCGTCCCTAATGGGCTCCACTGGCCCATGATCACAGCATGGCTAGACGGCTTTGGCGCTTGTGCCGTCATCCAAAACCACATCGCTGTCTTAAATGACACTGTCGGGTCCGTGGCCACCAGGTTTGGGTTGCGCAGCAGATCAACCCCAATGGCACAGCCTACAGGCCCGTATTTGTATTTGTGGGAGAGCTGGATCGGTGCAGCCACCTCGAAATATTCCTTGCATCATCTTTTCATTACTACGATTAGCAACCACCTCCATTGTGTAATGTCTAAAGTCCGAGGGAACTTTATAATCATCATGATCCTTACCTGTTGACCCGTACCCTTACGGTACAAATAAACACACAATCGATCTTCAGAAGTGTGATTGCCGAGGGATCGTGCAAAAAATCATATTTCAAGGTTCACACCATGTTAAGGGAAAACCCGACACGTTGTAGACATGCCATACACAAAAAGTGTTTCTTTTTAATCTACATGGTAGAATCCATGATTCCGCCCGAGCTAAATACAAGCTCTACAGGGCAAGGACTGCTGACCGACTAGTGATGAGTAACTCCACCAAGACGATCTCGGAGTGATTGAATAAAGGCACAATGCCGCATTAATCCGGCATACGCGCTACCAACAAGGCCTCCATGGGTACCATGACACAAATGTGATGAAAAGATCCTTCCTAAATTGGGACCTCGTCGTGGAGCTCCTAGCATCACTAGGTAAATGCTTGTGCGTTGGTATGGGTAAAACCGTCCTTCTAATCATTGGTTTTCCAAACTTTGTTGAACACTTCTTTCCTTCATCAAAAGAAAATAAATCGCACCATTTATTGTTTTCCTTTCTTCTTGCACGGAGACGGGATTTGATGGTAAAGATAGACATGTACACTAACATTTTGTAGGAAACGTAGGAATATTTAATACATAGAAATCATCACAAATGGAACTAAATTACTAGAGGTGGGTATAAGCATTTGGAAAAAATGAGATAGTCCACACAACAGAATATCAAGCACTTATGGTGTAAACAAAACAATCTCAGAGGACTTTATTGAACATTACAACAAACCAACGACGGTACATGACTGAATTATGAAAGAACGCGAAGGGCATAAATAGGGGGACACCTTAGCTTGCCAGCTTATTACTGGAAGAAGGGAAATTGAAGAAAATCAAACAGACGGCCATAAACAGAACATGCAGCAGACAGTTTAGATGGTGTAAACACCAATTTTACGGATATAATCGTCACACTGCGCAAAGAAGCCAACAACGGTCTTTCCTTCCGGCACGGTAAAGCTGAACGGAGACTTGCCGTCCTGTGGCCCAAAAGGACCATACGTTTTAATGTTTGTGACAATCTTAAGGTGAGACAAATAGTCTGGGTCACCAACTGTCCCAGTTATCTGCTTCACAAACTCATTTGGGCAAAACTTAATCTGTAAGCAACACAAAAAATAAAACAAAGATGTTGTCAATTGGCATGCTAGTAATAGCGAAGATGATTTGCGGAAAATTCTGAAGTCAACTCACGGTTTCAATAGTACAGGGTGAATTAGTACATCCAGTAGTACCCCAAGGACCAGAGTTGCAGATTCGCCCGTCTTCACCAATGTAGGAAAACTGAATCGCACTTACTACGCTGTTAAAGTATATTGTGACACTCTCTAGACGTTGGGATTTTCCTTCCATTTCACGAAGGGGGGCATCCTTTGCACCCCACGGTCCCATCTTCGTAGGTGCAGGGACCGGAATCTAAACAACCATATCAAAAAATTCAATCAGATCCAGTCAGCATAAATATGAAACTAAATGTCAAGCAAGATACTTACGTTCATGTGGCAAAATCCATCCACAGTAAGCTCGAATATTTTACTACCAGCTACGTCCACAACTAGTCGTTTCGTTAGGATACCACGTGCCATTGCGAAGTCACCTGTCCCACCAATAATAGCAAACTCACCATCATTTGCCGATCTTGATGCTCCCATTACCTGAAGAGTGGACCCTTTAAATCTGCACAATTGCACCCAGGTTATTTGCTTAAATAAATGACCGCAGTACTTGTAAGTTGGGGGTGTTTGACGATGTTCACTCTCGTAAACTAAATACTTAATATTATATCAAACATGTAACCCCATCTGACTAGTAGTTATCAATATAGCAAACACAGTAAAAAAACTATAATAACTATACAATGAGGAAAAGAGCTACGCGTACCTTTCACCCTCGAAGAATGTCATGGAGAACCAAGAGTACCAGTTGGGGTGGATTGCTGTGTGCCAGCCTTGTGCCTTCGCAACCAGCTTCGCCTCTGAGCCGAGATCATCATATATTCCCCAACTGTTAACACCAGACAGGCCGAACTGTAAGGCAGGATCTCCTGATACTAGAGGGCCTGTCTGATTCGTGTTTGGCCCTTCCCAGATCTGCCGCAGATACAACTTACTGAACTTAATCTTGGTGTTGTCCACGGATGCACCAAAGCTACGAGTGACCTCAAAAGTGGCCATGGAATGGTGTGGGACAAAAACTTAGGAAAGAGTGTATTGTATGGGCACTAAGATGTTTCTGTGTAGTATGAACAAAAGGATGCCCATCATAGGTATTTATAGCCCCAGAACTAGGGCAGCCATGGGGCATAAGTATGCACCACATTGTGTGTTACCGTTGGCATCATGTGAGAGCACATGACCCCGGACAGATAGTTTTGTTCAGTAGTTATTTTTTTCTGTTAAGATTCCCCGGAGTAGATCCATACAATACACCTCCCAACTAAGTTTCATAAGTTCATTTAATTTTGCTGACAAGCCAGACCGTCTGTGCTGTTCCGCAGGTTGTTCAAATTACGTAGTTCGGTTTCGCTTAAAAATTAATACGTTGCATCTATTTCCCTACATTACCAGCTAGTGTTCCTGAAAATAACATGCAAGAGCGCTTCACTTCAGTTTAGAACCGTACGTAGTCATTTGCTACAAGAGAAGCCGGCAAACATAAAGAGGTACCACTCACAAATCTAGCAACAAAAAATAGGTCTGGTCACATGTAGCGCTGCAGCTTGGAGATAGAAATGCTTGCCATATCGGTGCCCTCGTAGCAGCACGGAAATTTACACTCAGCAAACTACACTAGCTGTCTTGCTGTCTTTGGTGCAAAAACTACACTCGGCAAACTACACATTACATTTCCTGCAAAAAGATGCCTTGCTGTGTTTGGTCCAAACTGCATACTAGCACCGAAGTTTACACTCGGCAATGGGGAGACACACTTTCCACACAAAACGATTTGATTGATTGGGCGAGGATCGATGACGTGGCTGGATCGAAGCCGTTCCATCGTCGCAGGTCAAACGGCCATCCGCTGCCGCGCCTCTTTTCTCTCCTATGTTCTCCCCTTATCTCCCTCGGCTGCCGCACTACCTCCTCCCCCTCCCTTCATGACGTACTCCGGTGCGCCTCCTACGGCAAGGGCGAGGGCAAGTCGTGAGCAGCGCCTCCGACGGTAAGAAACGACGCGGGCAAGTGCCAGGAGCCGCATGGAGTGGCGGGTCACTCCTGCCATGGCCTCGTGTGACCACCGTCACCATCCGACGGCCGTCTCGTTACTGTACTTTTTTGGAGCGTCGCCCAAAGCACTCGACAAAGCCTTTGCAGTGCGTCCGTAGGAAACCTCTTAGGCAAAGAGCTCTTTGCCAGCTAGAGATACGTCAACTTGATTTGCACAGTGCACGCTCTCGGCAAAACCATTGTCCAGAATATAAATATTTGCTCCTTTGCCGTGGCAAACACCATGTTTCCTGTGGCGAGTTAAGAATAAAAAAATAATTTGTTTCAATGATGTGACTTGATTGAAAAAAATATCTAAGAGGTGAACGTTGATGGCATCTCGATGATGTGTCTAGTCAGATTCTTGGCCGGAATAGTAGTATAATAGAAAGATTCGTTGTCATCAGAGATGCCATGGTGTTAGGCTGTACGGATAAGAATATGACTAACACGATGCTTTTAGATTCGACCGCCTTACTTCTGTCTGTTTCTTGTAACAATAAATAAAGAGCCTGTACATACTTGTCTTCGTATATATATTTTATTTCATCTTTGTCATCGACATGCGGCGCCCCTCCAAGAGCCCAGATCTGGTAAACCCGCCTCCTTACGGGGGCCTGTAACACTTGTTGTACCGCGAGCCCTCCAACGAAACAGGTCCCATCAACCCGTCCCGCAAATGTTTTGCGGGACGCGTTTATGGGGTATGTTCGGAGCTGGAGGGCTCGCGGTACCGGAAATAAAATCATAGGATAATTATTGACAAGTTCATCATCACTAGTTCATATCCAGTTGATCATCAT